GTGTCGGCCAATTTTTCCGGCTTAACTGGTACAAACGGAAATACCGCCCGGTTTTGGTCTAACCGGCGGTAGAGTTGTTTTAATGAAAAACGTCGGCGTTTTTTGGAACTTCAAGTTATAAAAAAAAAGCCAAAGGCCAAAAACCCTAATATGTTCTCTTCTCTAACAAAAATCGGGCAATCGGCTGCCAGAGACTGCCAGACTATTCATTTTCATCGTTTCTTCTTTCTTCCCCAGCGGCCCAGTCCTGTCCCGCCTCGCCGCTCCTTGTCTTCACCTCTGGCGTTTGCGAGTAGTGACCAGAGACCGGCGACCAGCGACTGCCGCTCCTCTTCTCTCCTCCTCAGTCCTCAATCGCGTCGCCGCCTGCTCGAATGGCCCTCCTCTACTCAAGAACGCGCCTCCGTGTTTCTTTGTTTGACACTGACTGCTTTGCTTGCTGGAGACCAATTGGACCGGCAACAGGAATCTGCTTCTTCTAACTTTGTTTATCAACAATAAGGTTTCCTACACAATAAGGATATTGAACAAATTATTAATTTTTATTTTTGTTTACTCCCGTTTATGAATTCCTCTAGTTTATTCAATTAATTCTACGAGATTCTAAATTGGGATTATGTGGACAAATATTATAATCAATCATGACGATATTTGATAGTACATCTGCCCTTGGCTTGACTTGACGAGTAATACAAAATAATTAGGTGACAAGAGTTACAAGTATCTATGACTATTTAGTTTATTTGGGTTTGTTATCCGATATTACTCCGAAATGATTGAATCTGTCGGTACAATTTTTTAACAAAAAAATATTTTTTTAATTAAAAAACGATATTTTACCGATACACAACGGTTGAACCACGGTCGTAACACAAAATATCATGCCACGGATGAGTCCGGTACGGTTTCCTTTACCATGCTTTTGACCTCATCACTTCACCATCAATCTTCAATCCAATCCCTTAACTCCACCTTTCCCGCTCTGTAAAACAGAATTCCCTATCTGCTACCAATACCTTTCTCTGTTCCTTCTTATTAGATTCCATCATCGCCATTTTTGGAAAATCGAATTGCAGACCTCCGCTCCTCCGCTCCCAAAAATCCATACCGTAGTAGTCAGTGTAGATATAGTCTACTACTCCCCCAACTTTCCAGCTCCAAATTCCGGTCACTATCACCTTCCTTTCTCTCTCTCTCTACACCGCTAATCTCTCCTCTCATCAATCCCAACTTTCCCTTCCTTCAATTCCTGCTCTCTCTCTCTACTGTTCTACACTACACTTCCCCATTCCTCCTCCTTGAATTCCCACCGCCACCGCCATGCACCTCCTTCCTCTGCTCTTCTTCCTCTCTTCTTTCCAATCAGCTCTCTCCGCCGCGCCCTTCGGTAATTCACCTACTGCAATGCTTGCCTGCTTGGTAGCTACTAGTAATGGCTTTCTTTGTTTCTTTGTTTGATGCCTTCTTTCTGTCTTGTGTGTGTGGTGGAGCAGATATCGCCTACCACATTGACTGCGGCGGCCCCACCAACGTCACCGATCCATTCAACACCACCTGGCTCGCCGACCGCTACTACACCGGCGGATCCGCCACCGTCGTCTCCGAGCCGCTCCACTTCCGCCACCCGCAGGAGAAGACCCTCCGCTACTTCCCGCTCTCCTCGGGCAAAAAGAACTGCTACATTCTCCCTCTATCTTCCGGCCGCTACTACTTCCGCACCTTCACCGTCTACGACAACTACGACGGCAAGTCCCACTCCCCTAGCTTCGACGCCTCAGTGGAAGGCACTTTGGTCTTCTCCTGGCGCTCCCCCTGGCCCCAATCCCTAGCTCGCGACGGCGCCTACTCCGATCTCTTCGCCTTCGTCAAGGACGGGGAGGCGGATGTCTGCTTCTACAGTATCGCCACCGACCCTCCCGTAATCGGCTCGCTCGAAATCCGCCAGGTCGATCCGCTGTCCTACTCCGCCGGCGACCTCGGCGACCGGTTTATTTTGGTGAATTACGGCCGATTGTCCTGCGGGAGCGACCAATGGGGGTCGGGTTTCACCAACGACGTCGATTACTTCGGCCGGTCGTGGCAGTCAGACGAAGAGCTCCGCACTCCCAACACGTCTAAAATTGTCAGCGCCGTCTCTACTAAGGAGTCGATTTCGGGGGTCAATCGGGCGCCTAATTACTTCCCGTTGAAGCTGTATCAGACGGCGGTTACCGGGAAAGGAGTGCTGGAGTATGAAATTCAGGTGGACGCGAAGATGGATTACCTACTGTGGTTCCATTTCGCTGAGATTGACTCCAGCGTCAACAAGAAGGGGCAGAGAGTCTTCGATGTGTTGGTGAATGAGAAGAACGCCAGCAGAGTTGATATATTTGCGCAGGTGGGGAGCTTCGCAGCTTACAGTTTTAGCTACACTGTGCACAACTTGAGCAGCACTACCCTGAGCGTGAAGCTGGTACCGGTAGCTGGTGGCGCGCCTATTATAAGCGGGATTGAGAATTATGCTCTTGTTCCCAATGATATCGCCACTTTGCCCGAGCAAGGTATGTTTGAACGGCCATTGCTACTTGGTTTTGCTGCACTCAGTCAGTCCAAATTGGGTTTTCTTCTTTCCTTGGAATCATCGAATTGCATGCTACTTAGTTGCTTGAGGGAGGGTCATGCATGGATAACTGTGGAGTGGGGTTGGTGATGACGGCTATTCTTGTTCTCAGAAATGTAATTCACTGATTAGGCTTTTCTGTTTTTTGCAGTGGCTGCCATGAAAGCATTGAAAGACTCTCTCCGAGTTCCTGATAGGATGGGTTGGAACGGTGATCCTTGTGCTCCTACGAACTGGGATGCTTGGGAAGGGGTTACATGTCGTCCAGACATTAACGATACAGGCCTTGTTATATCCCAAATGTGAGCATTTCTCCTACCACCTGGAAGGCTGGAACTTGTGAATGTGGTCATGGTTTTCGTCCTCTCTAATTATGCTTTTGTTCTCCTAAATTTTTTCAGAGATCTTGGCAGTCAAGGCCTTAAAGGGTTTATAAGTGATCAAATCAGTCTCCTTACGAATTTGGTAAACCTGTAAGTATCTGCTACCTGTTAGTGTTATGGTATATGATCCACGATTGAACCTCTCCCAACAACTCGAGTTATTGGGATCAACTGGTTTTTGACATGGTATCAGAGCCTTCTGTGACCGAGAGGTCTTGTGTTCGATTCCCAATGACCCCCATTTGTTAAGCACATGGTATTCTTGTCTTCAGACATGTGCAAACTTCCAGCCCTTGTGAGTGGCTTTCGTTTGAGGGGGCGTGTTAGTGTTATGGTATATGATCCACGATTGAACCTCTCCCAACAACTCGAGTTATTGGGATCAACTGGTTCTTGACACTACCAACATTCTAATGAGCTTTCTACTCTGTGATGGTAAAGCTTAAAATGGAAACATACTAATAGGAATTTTCTTATTTCTACAATTACTGTTAGAGAAGCAATTGTCTTTTGCTACAAGACTTTCCCTTTCGGAAATTCCAACAAATCATCTTTGCTGTGCTAGTCAGTATCTTTTATTATCTGCTTTCAACTGCTAGCTTGTTTAGTACCGAAAGCCAGCATATGAAATGCTCAGTTTTCCCCAACTGCTAGTCAGTATCCATCATTATCTACTTACCACCCCTCAGGTTCCCCTGCAGAAGCTGATGTTAGATTCTGAGACAGTTTGAGAACTTAAGCTTTCTATCTGAATTGATAACTTATATGCATTCAGGGTAGTTAAATGAGTATAATTAATTACATAATGTTCTTCAAATATGCAGGAATTTGAGTGCCAATTCATTGGGAGGAACCCTACCTGATGGCCTCGGTCATAAATCTCTCGTCCGGCTGTAAGTAACATGCAGTTAATGCTCAGTTGGATGTTGTTTGGTTTTTTTTTTTTTTTTTTTTTTTTGCGAAGTATTATTATGTCATAGAATAAGTTTTTTCTCTTCTGGCTACACATTTTAAAATGAAGTTTCTGATTTAGTATTTTGGATCTCTAAGCAGTAAGCAAATATGGCAGGGATCTTATTTTGCTTGTCTGCTTTTGGATTCATGTTAAAGAGAGAGAAGGTTACCTTAACATTTAAGGATATGTAGCTTAACAGCTCATCCTTCTGTCATGTAGCCCATGCCATGATTTCAGTCGTGCTTTTCTGGTTAGATACTGATGTTAAGCACAAGAAATATCACGCTAGGTTTTTACTTTTTCACAAACTATCATCTAGGTCCTTGCTTCTGGGTTGTTCTAATATTTTCAAACTTAATCTGTTGTTCAAATTCTTCTGACCATCTTGGTGGATAAATGATCTCTAGACTCCCATGTTGTGCTTTGGGTTAATAGATGTACATAACTCTCTTGTATGCGTCACGCATATTTTTGTTATCATTTAATGCAGTCGCAATTTTGAAGCCATACTTACCATGAGAAGCACATGCTTATTTATGTGACTTTTTCCTATGCTTGCTTATGATTTGGGTTTGTACTGTGTAGGGATTTATCAGACAATCAGTTCTCAGGTCCCATACCAGAAAGTTTAACTTCTTCGAGTCTGAAATTAATGTAAGTTGTCTTCTTGTAGTGGTTACTCTGTATCACTTTCTACCTCCAATGCATGTTTGTAATGTTTTACAGAACTTACATTTATGTGAAATTCAAAATTTCTGTTGTCTATACGGTTCATTCGTTTATTTGCATCTCATGGGAACGTTAGGTAAGCGATTTATGGTTAAATTCTTGCTCGCGAATACGATCTCTGTGCCAAAAAATTGTCATTGTCCTAGCTTCTGCCATGGACTTGTGTTCCTGATATTCTTATTCTTCTGGTGATTGGATGACGACATGTGTTAGTGGTTAAAGGCTAGGGCAACATAGTATAATCTTTTTAGATAGAATTGTATATTCTGCTTTTACATTTCTGCCACATTCATAGCAGTGAACTGAAAGTCATAAAAAAATGTGGCAAAGATTTTCGTGCTCAATGAATTCATTGTTGTTATACCTATCCCGTTGGAAGACATACTGTTGAACCCTTCCTTAGTTGGAAGACCTGCAAAGTACATTTGAAGGAAGACGAAGCGCAGAGCTGCTTATTACTGGTTCTTAGAAATTTTGAATGTTTGTAATTTGTGGGTAAATGAATTACCTCATTCCATGGGAGAATGGAAATGGATGGGCTCAGCCACACATTTACTTTTTCTGTTACCCTTTATTGCTTTATTCATCGTTAGATTACCCTTAATTGCTGTATTTTTCATACTGCTTTGGCTATTGTGTTGACCTTGTAACTTTGTCTCCAGGTTATTGAATGATAACCTATTAGAAGGGCGAGTCTCAGAAGAACTTTATTCTATTGGTATGCACGGTGGATCCATCAAGTAAGTTCTTTTCGCAATGTGTCAGAATATGCAATATTCTGTAGTATTTCCTGAAACATTAAAACCATAAGCTTCACGTACAATATGTGAGACGTACCAAAGTTGGTTGTTTTTGGGAACTGTCTTTGAAATTATAGCACCGTCCGCAACGTTTATTGGAAAAGAGAGATCTCGAGGTCACTATGCAACTATTTTCGGCGGGCTTTCTCTCGTAAAACCAAAGACGCCCCAAGACAAGCTGTTATAGTCTGTATTCTTAGGGGTTAGACCAGTAAGGAGTGAATCGTCAACCTTAGTATCCCATGAAAATTCCAACATGTGTGCCTATATCAGGAGGCTAGTCAACTGTAAGGTTTGAAGTCCATTGCTGACTAGCCTCTGTTGATACAGAAGTCCTTAGAAGATAGCTCTACCATATTCTTCATATGGGTTTGTCTGAAACCTTCATTTTCCTTTGGCAATGTAGAGTTCCAAATGAGATCCAGCTAGGCAAGGAATCGCCACTACATGTATGACTTTGGAGTTCCAAAACAGACACATGCTTGCTAGTAGCATTTTAGTGTTTATCAACTGAGACCATAATTTCATTGCAGTACATCGAGTAGATTTCTTTTCGTGCAAAGGAATTTAGACTTTCGTGTTCTTTTTGTCATCTATTGCCTTCGAGGTGAGGTGAGGTGAGGTGCCTTGCTGTGGAGCAAGGCAAGGTCTAGGTTGATGGTAAAATTACTACCATGGCTCCATTAAAGCTTGTCGGGTATTGTGCCCGAGCTCATTATTGCTCATAATCTTTTCGAAGTTGGGACTTGGGGCCGTCCATCAGTAATAGAGCTGGGCCTTTGGATAGTGTAGCTTATTCATTGTACAGATATTATGGTTTCATTTTAAGGTTATTTCTTCTGTTGTTAGTATTACCCTGGTTACCTTTCAAGATATTTAATAGGTTGAATAATTTAAAACTGATGTGTCATTTTGTTACTTAATGAAAGAGGACCTTGGTTTTGCAGCCTTTCAGGTAACAAAGGCTTGTGTGGTGTACCCTCATTACCAGACTGCTCCATAGTGTGGGAGAATGGTCACTTATCCAAGGGTGGCAAAATCGGTATCGCCATAGCTTGTCTTGTAGTATTCATTGGGATTCTTTTCGTGATCTACATATGCTGGATCAGAAGGAGTAGACATGATTATGACTTTGCTCCACCTCATGACCTAATGTGTAAGTATTTCAAACAATTCCAAGTGGATTTCTTCAATTTGCATACATGATGTCTGGAACATTTTGAAGTTCAGTTTTTCACGTTATTGCATGTTAAGATGCTCTCATCAGGTTAAACTATATGACTTCTTCCTTCCACTTTTTTGTGTGTTATTTTCGGGTTGCTCAATTTGAAGATTCAGCTATCAATAGGTTGTTATTTGATTAAGTGGATACTCAGATCTGCTATTGATAAGTTTGATAGTGAGGGATAAGCTAACTAGGAAGTATTGTGGAGCCGCAATTAGGTTATTTGCCACTCTTACAACATATGCAGAGCATAAGTAGTGGGTAAATCTGGCCTTAAGATCATCGTTCTAGAGAATAAGCTTTTTATATTCTCCAAAAAGTGGCATAGATTTCATTCAGTGTAAATCCAGCAACTTTACCATTGTTGGTTGTTTGCTGTATAAATCCTCTGCAGACCTATTGAGTAGCCATTAATGTATATCATTGTTGGTTGCCTGCGCTAGAAATTCCCATCTGTAGTAATGTTGAATAACCATAAATTCATTGGAGGTCGAGGCTGTCGTCTGCTACTGACCTAACCTTGATTTTGAGAATTAGTTTGAGGCAAGATTCGCTATAGCATGGAATTTTTCTAACATGTTGATCGTCTAAGCTCAATTCATCTTTATACAGAAATTTCATTTGTTATTGGTCTTTGCATACATACCCGACGACGCATGTCAATAACTACTGTGCTTGTTGCTCTACTGGATATATTTCCTAGTATTCCCGTCTAAGGCCAGCAGAATAAAATTAGTAAGAGTTAAAGCCTGAACATGTCCCAAATTTTGCTTTCCACCATATTAAGAACTTGAATGCACCTGGATCTTAGAGAGGTCTGCCCTGTTAGGTACAGCCCTAGAGACTGAAGCAGAGTACATACATTCAACCATGTTAAGAAGCTTCTTTGCTGAATTTTTGTTCATGCACAGAAACATGAAATACTGCAACTCACTCCCTGTTCCTGAAACTTGTGTTATTGTTGCGCAGCAATGGCAGCAAAAAGGAACAGATACCAAAGACAGAAGTCGTTGATGCTTCTGGAAATGGAGAGTCAACATGCCAAGGCATTATCATCACCAGGTCCCAACTAACTAACCCAAGTCACATATCCGAAGAGGATAAACATATTCATCTATCCGGGCAACAAGAGTTTACGACACCCCACCACAACTCAAATGGAACACTGGATCAGAATGAACCGGAGACGACGGCGGACCCAGAATGCGACTAGTGGAAAGTTGTTAGCCAAGAAAGCAAGGTGGCCGTTTGAGCTGTAAGATGATCTGACCTTTGCTTCCTTCCCTTCCCCAGTTTTGGAATCCGTTGCATGGGGGAACAGATGGGGCCAGTGAAAGTACCGCATGAATGCAGCCTTTATACAACAACACACAGAAAACTGTCTATATGATGAATTGATGATGGTGCAATGTATCTTGCACTACACATTGCACCAATTTTTTTTTTTTGGTTTGTTTGGATTCCCCACTGGCCATGAAAAGCAAATTGGATAAGGCTTCCCATTCTTGTGTAACTCACCACCATTTGTGCAGCTTTGTGGGGACTGTTGTTGCTGCTGTGTAATGTGAATTGTCAACATCCTGTAGTCTCATCTTGAAAATGGCTTTACAACAATTTATTTTGTATGCACCATAAAAGGAGAGTTGGCTGCTCTTTGTTTGGTTCTTCTTGGGTGCGCAGATCAACTGACATTATGGTTTGCTGAGGGCTTCCTTTTTGATTGCTTTGCTGTTCATATTCTGGGTTGGCTCTAGCTTACTGTAACCATAGGGGACAGTTTGATTATCCTTTTTGATTACTTGTTGTTTGTGATGTTCTAAATATTGGGCCTTCCGTATGGGCTTGTTCCCCAATTCAGGGATATGCTTCATCATGAGATAAACGGCCCATCACATTTTGTTGAGAAGCTTTAGAGTTGTTAGTAAATCGGCTATAAACGTAACCATTTATTCGGTTAATCAATAAATAATTTGTACTTATGATCAACTGTATGGTCTATATTAGCTGCTTAATCTTAACTGTATAGTTACAGATCCATAATAAATCCCAAATCTAAAATCCTAATTAGTATAAAAATTAAATAAGCATTACAGAGTAATTCTATAACTATACAAAAGTTATATCTAGGTCCTCATATCTTCATCTTCGAACTTAGGTAACCAATTCGTGGAACGGGAGCGAGAGCGGGAGCGTTGATGCTTCTGGAAATGGAGAGTCAACATGCCAAGGCATCTATCATTTTAAAAATAAATAAAAAATTAGAAAAATATTATTTAATATAAGGAAGTCTAACAAAATCCATTTTCACTACATTTTATTTCTTAGAATTTGTATTCTTATTTTATATTAGAAATTCTTTTTAATAATTTACTAATTTTACATGGTCTCTTATCTTAAAAAACACTTCTAATAGTTTTACAGCTAAACACTCAACTGTTTTTTTTAAGTACTTCATTTTTGGAACATCCTTGACCAAAAAGTTACATATTTGGATATTCATTTTTGGAACATCCTTGACCAAAAAGTTACAAGTAAACCTGTCCAAGTTTCAATACGAAAAAACCCACCTTCACCTACCCAACTTAAGTAAACAACTGCTTTCTCCAAGACTGGCAACAAACCAAAACAGAACCAGCAGTCATCGCCCACTTTTCTTGTCCAGAACTCCTCTGTAATTAAAAATAATCACCAATTAAGCGGCATCTGATATAACTAATTAATCACAGATATACTAATGCACAGCCCACATGTACGAATACCAGTTCAGTTTACAAGTCTGAAAACAACGCCGGTTTTGTCTTCCTAGAAACAGTACTGCAACTGGCAACATAATAATTAACCACCGACGACGTTAACTTTCCAAAATAGTCAACTTCCTTTTCTTTCTCCTTCACTTTCAGTTCTACTGTTCTCCTTTCTCTTCACTGGCGCTCTATTTATTGGACCAACACGGTTTGGCTGCAACTTGCTGTACCCCAAGTTTCAGAATTCAAGCAGAAAGAATCTGTGATGCATGGTTTCACATTCTGATGGGTCCGACCGGTCCAGACTTTTTTTTTTGACCACTTTGATTTCTAACCACTGATTTACTTGGTTGGTTGGTTGCTGCCCTGCCCGCCTGCTGCAGATTGCAGACAGCCCAGCCACTTGCTTTCTTTTACTGCTTCGGTAGTGCTTCTCGAGAGTGTCATACAAAAGCATATTAACCCTGCTACTCTTCAGTCCTCATTTGCATCTGAGAAAGTAGTGCAACAGAAATTATATGAGATTGCTTTTGGTAGTTTTTCATTTCCATTTCATCATGCATGGCAAAATCATTTTGCAGCTATTTACCAAGCTAGTCCAGAATTCCCTTTAGTTTTGTCATATCATAGACCCTCCACATCTGTATATGTTAGTTTTAATATGGCATGCATGCTTCACAGGTGGAAACTATTTCAACGATGTTGCATTTGATCACCTATATATGGTGATTTCTTCCGTGTAATCACAAAAATGAGTGCGTTGTCTCTAAAATTAACGTTAAGACATCGAATTTTAGATTTTAATTGATAACATTAGTTTGATATAATATAGAATCACAACTAATCAATGCATTACCATAAGCTCTAAACCATCAATTTTGAAACCTAACCCCAAACCCTAACTATAAATTCCTAAACACTTAATCATTCAAATCAAAGTAAAATTTGAACGATTTTTGTTCTAATTCATGCACTTTTTTGTACATCATATCACAAGTGATGATTGTCATCGTTTTAATATGAATTGCTTGAGCGTATATATATAAATTGGAAATTGGAATGAATGAAGGTTTGAATGAAAATGCAGTCCTATACATATAGAAATGACAATCAGTTCAAGTACAACTTGGATTTAATCTATTTCATTCAAATTCCATTCAACCACGACCCTCATCACTGACGTTGTTTCCTATCTGCAATCTACCCTTTGTTTATGCATGTCTCTAAGTGCATGCAAGTGGATTTTCAATATTGACTTCTGACTTTACAATCTAAAGTCAACCGCAACTATAACCTAAAAATATATGGACTTGTATAAACAATATAGATATTTATTACTTAAAACCATAAAAATAAATGTAGTTATCTATTCAAACCAATGGCACCACAAAAATAGCCATAAAGATAACCCATGACGAAATAATTGGTCGAATTATTATGTAATTATTGATGTAGTTCCTGGAGTTGAAAAATATAAGAACACGATCATAAAAATCTCTTAAAAGCAACAAGTAATCGTATTTATTTATTTCATTTCTTATGCTCTTACGCTCTTACTTGAATCGTTAGATCGAGACTTGGAATTTAACATAAAAAAAAAAAAGAATTTTCATCTAGTATCTCGCAAGAAGTAATGTAAAATATTGCAAGATAAATTGCATAAAACCTTAGTTTTATAGTTGACTGATCTATTCTTTTATTTCTGCTTCCTCCAATCAATTTTAGCTGTTCAGTGGGACGCATTGGCGACTTTTCCACACCTCTCCAGCCAGCCATAGCTTTGAATATTCCTATTATTGACTAGGAATAGTCTCTATCTATTAGCTTAACACCCAAACTTACACGACTACAAGTTAAAAAAGGCAACGTAAATATTGATAGAAGAATTTTACAATGCTTCAATACTGGTGCTTTAAAAAAAATTATGATATCAATTTTATTTGTATTGTTAATGCAATGATACAAGTTTATACACTTTTGTAAGAATTTATATATGGTATAAACTAACTTTAACGTTATACTATAAATTTAGTTTGTACTGATATCTCTTCGTACTAATTATTTATGGTACAAACTAAACTCTTACTAAATTATAAATACACACTCAGTTTGTATCTCGACGTACCAATACTTTCGACTATGGTAGATGTGTGCTCAATATTTATTTTCTTTTTCCCTAATCGGCAACTATATTATACCAAATAGTCCACTATAATTAGTAATCTCGGTAACTAAACATACAATTTACCCTAATATCATTTCATTCGAAATATTTATCGTAAAAAAAAAAAAAAAGCTAGATCCAAAAATACGTGCCTAACTAAATATCCATTTTGGCTCCTGCCCTGCTATTTGCCAATTCTATCGAAATTATTCAAACAAGTGGACAGACAAATTGAGTATATTGTTTCTTTTATCTGACTTTCCTCGCTCAATAATTGTTTTCTTTCTATTTTTCCCTCAGTCGGCAGCAACATAATACCAAATAGTCCACTTGGCAAAATAATAGTGTACGGACTTGGGGGCCCAGTTCGACTCAGACAGACGACTAATCTAATACTAATAGCATCAGCCACTGATTTTGTGCATGTGATTATATTGATTGTGGGTGTTAACATGCCATTAGCCCAACCCAACTTGACTTTATTTATTTAATTGTTTATTATCAATGTTAATAACATGCTGACTCATTTATCTTAACTTGTCAGGTCTAACTCTTCTGTTTATTCATTATATAATATAATATTTATATTTATTAACGGGAATATTGTTTTGGTTAACCCATTTGGGAGGTTAAAATAGTAATTTTTCTACAAATTAAAAAAAAACATACTACTGCCTCCAAAATAACAAAAACTGAAACTAGAATGTTAAAGTGATTGTGACGAAGAGATGGGAGCACATAATTGGTTAGAATGGCACTGTCCATCTCCACTATTGGCCTGGCCTGAACTGGCTTTCTCTTCCTTATCCTCTTCACCATGGCAGCAGGGCAGCAGCTTCTTCATTGTTCTTTGAATAATTTCATTTTATGGGTTGGTTCATTCATCCATCATTTTTTCTGACCAAGCCCACATCTCGACCAATGGGATCAGTTATGTGGGTTGCAGGAGAGAACAATATTGGTCCCAGTAAGCAACGATAACATTTGACAATTGTTATCATCATATAAATAACTTATCCCTTCAATACCCATACTTTGCATACCTTTACCACTAAGCCCTTACAATTTCAAAACTTAAGCTGCATGTTGAGATGAACGGTCGAGATTTCTTGTTGTACGACATATACTAACTTTTGTCTGGTGTATGATAGAACAATCTATATATGTGTATAATACTAGTTTCGAATCGACAACAATCAATTTTGCAGATGGTAAGGTACCACAGAACTCCGAGTGAATGTTTAATTCTGGTCGATCGTATGCATGTCTTGGTAATTTAATTATTCTAATATGACTCAAGTTGTTGGTTATGACTTGTGAGAAATTATTGTCAAAAGAGGACTTTGTGAGAGGGACAGGTTATGGTGATTACTATTTTATAGTAATCACCGTGGTTACTAAGGGCAAATTGGGTATAACAAAAAATTTATTAATGATCTTTTTTAATAAATAATATTTTAGGAAATTACATAAATATATTAAATACAATTTTTCTCTCTCTCTCTCTCTTTCTCTCACTTCCACAATTTTCCAGCCAGATCTCTCTTCCTTATTTTTCTCAATCTTTCCTTGATTACGTTCATCCAAACTAATACCGCCGCAAAACAAAACAATAAATCAACACCAATCCATTAAAAAAATACTACCATTGTACAAAACATCAATACCATTCGAGAAATAAAAACACTATCATTTCACAAAACATCAATACCATTGCATATTTAATCACTACCAATGCGACAAAATCAATACCAATGCGACAAAAACACTACCGCTACGAAAAAAATGACTACCATTTAAAAAAAAATCACTACGGAAAAAAATGACTACCATTAAAAAAAACATA